ATGTTTTTCTCTTAATCACACACCAACGCTTAAAGATATTTCGAACAAACTCGCAGCACAATAGTTCAAAAGATGCAGGTTGATGAAAATCATTTATTGTTTTATGGTCGTCATAGTGATCTCATTGAAAAATATTCTATTTCTTTGTGTGATATGAAGCTGGACGTATTTGACGCTCCCAAAAAAGTACAAAGAGAGTAAGACCAGGTGTTCCGGAAAAGTAAACGTCCTCTGCTTAATCAATGACACCCGCCATGTACAGCTTGGTCAGCCAATGTAGGTAATATCATGTTCTCAGATAAAAACAAGTTATACAATAACTGATCATGTTAATTGTGGATGTATACCGAGGTGACAGCAAATTATTTCGTAAAACAAGTGCTGTGATTACGACAATGACAACGTATAGAGAAGACAAAATATCAATTGTATTTTGGAGAGAGGGAAGAAAGACAATTGAGGTTCGCATTTGTTTTCTTTCTGTTCTGAGATTTGATATAGATTTTATTTCAAGTCACTGACCAAGTACTTTATTCACCTGGAAACATTTGGTGAATGTTCATGCTATCAAAACTTCATCAGGTTGTTGTTTAGTCTTTGTTTACCTGACGCTGACCTCCAGTAAAAGTGGATCATATGATTTTCATTTGTATGCAAAAATAACTGATTCGCGCGTGAAATATAGTTGCCTCCTAGACTTCAAAATGCAGCCCCTTAGCATCACTGACAAGTCATAGAAGGACGAAACAGCTGTATGATGTAACATCACTGACGAGTCTTAGAAGGACGAAACAGCTGTATGATGTAACATCACTGACGAGTCTTAGAAGGATAAAACAGCTGTATGATGTAACATCACTGACGAGTCTTAGAAGGACGAAACAGCTGTATGATGCAGTTTAATTCATTGTTTGGCTCTACTGTTTCTTCTCTGAATTAGCACTAAAACGTGATATTCAATTCTATGTCTTTTTTACAATCTTAATGTCAAATTTGTTTCCATTTAGATTAAACCTGATGAACACTGTGAATTACCTGTCAATTATTTATACAAGTTGTTTGAACAATGCAGTTACTACAATACATCTGTTTCCGGCCAAATACAGCGAAATGTAATTTGTGTAGGATATATACTGTTTCCGTCTCCTTGTTTACTCTTTGATCATAATGTTTACATGTGATAATAAAAGTTACATTATAACATCGTAAACAATATTGTACTTTACCCGACTTTTCTTCGTTACCTAAATAAACATGATTTGCTACGATGCAGTTCTTCAATTCATAACACAAGGCCACTATTACGAATGATAGCTATCGACAGGTAGCTCATTAAGGAATATTATGATCAAACAATCAATGAAAGAAGAGACAATTAGCCTTATTATCGTCTTTATCTATAAATGATGTGCTAGATGATTATCAGGGTGATTACTAAACCCCGGAACTATTAACATTCGGGACAACTAATTGATCGGTGTTTCTGTTGGTTACAAACGGTACACATAAACAACCCTTTTTATCATTTGTACATCATGGGACGCCAAGACGAAAATACACATTTAGATGTCAGTTTGATGTGTAAAACTGTAGTACATATCAAGTCTTCTTGGGTCGTCAGTTTATATCAGAAGGAGTAAACGTCGGTTGATGTGCGAGTGCCATTTGTTCAAACATAAGTAAGTGTTAACTACCTGCTTGTGATAAAAACGTTGTTGCCATGGAAAGTACTAGACTGTTAAAGGCAAAATTAATACTCAAAAATATATCAATCTGACTTGTCACAACAAAAACTAAAGCTGTGAATTGAAAAAAGAATGTTTTAAATTTGTTTAATTGATGTATGAAGATTTTTACTAACCAGTGGATGTCTATAATCGGTCTTAGTACAACCAGGACCAAAACGCCTAAAAGACGTTCCAGGTTGTCAGCAGGCATTAGGCTGCTTAGATGTTGGTTTGAGATGTCAGCGCACATCATGACGCCTACATGATGTTTCGGAGTATCAGTATACATATCCTTAACATCAATAAAAGTTGTATTGTCGACGTTTCACATCCCTCACTGGTGTCATAAATAGGACCACACGTCTCTGTCATCGTCACGTTTTACATACATATATTGTTCAGATGAGAATGGGAGACAATTTGACGCCTTGTGCGATCTTCCCTGAAGACAGTGGAAAGATAGCTACTTCAATCCTGAAGAAAAAACCTGTGTTCACTGGTTGTCTGGATCGCTAGTCTACTCTGTTATTCCTGCCGACAAGAGAAAACATTTGCGGAACATACGATGCGTATCACATCGAACATAAGTACACCCGCATTAAAAATTCAAACGCTCTGGTGAAGACGTGTACATTACACTATCGTAAAGCCAACTCAATGAATTCATTCCAATCGAAAGAGTTTGTGTCGGAAAGATTTTAAACCTCGTGGGAAAACAAACTTTGTTGAATTGAACAGGTAGAGAAAACTTCAATAAAACCCAATAATCACAATATCACAAAAGGTTTTGTATTTGTTCAGGAATCTTATTTGTTTATGCTTCAAAAGCATCATTGATCACTACAGTCGGACAAACAGTGTTCATTCTAGTGTTACACAATAACTTATCATTCTTTCACAATATCGTTACCTAAATCTAAGTCGTCGACCTCAGTATTGCCTAACTCTCAATCGGAACAAACAGACCACATCGTAACATATAAACAGCTTATATCAAAGACATTATACGGATATTTGTTGCATAATTTATATGTCTTACGTTCTGGTTGCTAGGTATAGAGTCTGTGAGCGTTTCCCGTTGTAATTGCAGACATGTCAACATTTTCTCCCTGTTGATGTGTTATGTATATTTTACAAACATTATGAAATTGTTCCAAAAAATTACAAGAAGAAAATACCCATATGTCAACATCATCATAATCCAAATATAAACAAAGGAAAAGATTTACACAGAGACCCTTCGAAAAGTACCAGGTGTTCCAGAAGTGTGAGCGTGTTCTGCTTCATCGCCGACACTTGGCATGTAAATTGCGTTCTCAAAACAAAGTATACAACCATGGAATCAACTTATCTATTTTATATTAGTCGTGTTTAACAAGGATGGAACCTAAATTCGTTACTCATGCGTTACGTCGAAAAAGTTAAACAAGATCATCTGTAAAGTGGTTCGAAATTCTATAGAATGTAGCATGTACCGTGCGCAGCATTTATCCCGTACGATTAACAGTAATATACAGTAATAATTCAGCTCATAGTAAAACAACACCATGGCATGGGTGTACATCCTGCAAGTGCATCTTCATTATCCTCCAAAAAATCGTTATATCTTCCAAATTAAACAATAATGTCTCCGCAAAAATATGCACTTTAAAAACTAAAAGTAATGAACTTCAAACTTCATCTATCCTCGGAAACAATTTAGTTAAAAATATCAGCATGGGCAGGAAATCTATTCTGAGTTAACATGGATATCTACCGTACATTCATTAAATACTGGGTTTTGTGCTGAAAATTTTAGATTTTGTTTTTATGTAATTAACGAGTATTTCACTAGACGTGTGTAGCATGTCTATCACTAGGGTGTTTAGGAGAAACAACAAAAGGCACGATATATCCATAGATTCCTTAGGGAACGAATCCCGACACATGCATCCATCTCTTCGGAAAATCGCGCGAATGAATCTCCTCTGAGGGTTTGTTGGAAATAAGACAATTTATTTTGTTAAAAATCCTGTTACTTTGGTAGTCTAAATAATTGTATGTTGGTGATGTTCGGCAGATTACGTAGTTCCTTTGTAAATTGTGAAAGAAATTACCTGCATTTATATAAGATATCGACATTTGCCTGCTTTTGGAAAGCAGTCCTCTGTATTCAACAAAAGCGAAAACGTGAATTGTAATTGACAAGAAAACTATTTCAAAGCTTAGACCTAAAATCGCACAGTGTGTTAACGAAACAGTGTACATACTCAGGCGATTATACTTACACCATGGAGCAAATCATCTACACCTAGACATTACATGAAATATAAAGAAAAACGAAACGAAATTAGTCTGTCAATCTTGCCGTACGTAAATCGAACAATAAGAAAATCCATTAGAAATTTCTTTGAAATAAGGTAGAAGATATATATATTTATGAGTTAATCAATTTCGTACATGATTCGAAACTGAATGTTCATGGTATTTCATTTCTAAATTTTATTTTCTTATTTATACCCGGATAGAAGAAGAATATCAAGACATAAACTATTTAAATAAGTTTAAAGGCAAATATCACCAACCAAACCCGGATTTGTTTCGTATAAAAATCTGCACTCAAGTTTCCAGGAGGAGTTAAATTAAAAAGAGGCGCATTGTACGGTTTCTGGCATAATGTCTCCTGTGATAAAATATCATCTTAAAATAAGGAAGTCTCCCAGAAAGTGCAAACGATGGTCATAGTGACAACATACATTCTTCTATATATAAAGCATGACTCATACTCTCCTGCTTTGGACATTCGCACTTTTGTACACAAGCAAAAAGAAATCAAACCTTACAAATGTTTGTAACACACCATGTTCTCGTTCAACAACAACAACCTCCCAATGCCTAACCTGAATTATTGTTCGGTAAAGGCCAGCTTGCTTGAACTCCGATGTTACACAAGAATCTAGTTGTGCCCGCAATGACCTGTTATGTCGGTACAAAGGCTGTGCTGCATCGGCAAAAACCGCGTTTATACGGACTAGGTAAGAAAACATCCCTCCCTGGTTATGTGCTAGGGCCCATTTGGACCAGTTAAACTGTCAACGTAGCGTAGAATAATTGGATTCCGACACACTGCCTGATCCTGGAACATGATCGTAAATCTCAGAGTTTGTGTCACCTCCCTTGGTGAGGTCTCTACCGTCCTCGACAAACGCGACTACAGATCGATTAGATTGTGTCTATATTTAAAAACAAATGAGGAAAAATTAACTTCCACCCTACCCAAAATGTATTGACAACATGAACAAAAAAGTAAACAAATGTTTTCTTGATTATCTATGTAGGTATTTTAGTTACAAACCGACCAGGTCACCTGGACCACCGAGAGATAGTTACAAACCGACCAGGTCACCTGGACCACTGAGAGATAGTTACAAACCGACCAGGTCACCTGGACCACTGAGAGATAGTTACATACCGACCAGGTCACCTGGACCACCGAGAGATAGTGACACACCGACCAGGTCACCTGGACCACCGGGAGATAGTTACAAACCGACCAGGTCACCTGGACCACCGGGAGATAGTTACAAACCGACCAGGTCACCTGGACCACCGAGAGATAGTTACATACCGACCAGGTCACCTGGACCACCGAGAGAAAGTGACACACCGACCAGGTCACCTGGACAACCAAGAGATAGTTACATACCGACCAGGTCACCTGGACCACCGAGAGAAAGTGACACACCGACCAGGTCACCTGGACAACCAAGAGATAGTTACATACCGACCAGATCACCTGGACCACCGAGAGATAGTAACAAACCGACCAGGTCACCTGGACCACCGGGAGATAGTTACATACCGACCAGGTCACCTGGACCACCGAGAGATAGTTACACACCGACCAGGTCACCTGGACCACCGGGAGATAGTTACAAACCGACCAGGTCACCTGGACCACCGAGAGATAGTTACATACCGACCAGGTCACCTGGACCACCGAGAGATAGTTACAAACCGACCAGGTCACCTGGACAACCAAGAGATAGTTACATACCGACCAGGTCACCTGGACCACCGAGAGATAGTTACAAACCGACCAGGTCACCTGGACCACCGAGAGAGGAATTTATACAAGATTACCTATGTAGGAATTTTAGTTACAAACCGACCAGGTCACCTGGACCACCGAGAGATAGTTACAAACCGACCAGGTCACCTGGACCACCGAGAGAGGAATTTATACAATATTACCTATGTAGGTATTTTAGATACAAACCGACCAGGTCACCTGGACCATCGAGAGATAGTTACAAACCGACCAGGTCACCTGGACCACCGAGAGAGGAATTTATACAATAGTACCTATGTAGGTATTTTAGTTACAAACCGACCAGGTCACCTGGACAACCGAGAGATAGTTACAAACCGACCAGGTCACCTGGACCACCGAGAGAGGAATTTATACAATAGTACCTATGTAGGTATTTTAGTTACAAACCGACCAGGTCACCTGGACAACCGAGAGAGGAATTTATACAAGATCATCTATCTAGGTATTTTGGTTACAAACCGACCAGTCACCTGGACCATCGAGAGAGGAATTTATATTATTTTAAAAAGAACAGAGTATGAGAGATTGTATTTGTCTCCTCGGGGAAACCAAATTATGTTTAAACTTAACAACGATAACCTCCTAGTCATGAGGACAAAACAAGAAAGCATGCTCAGCATTATACACGTACGTAGTTAAGATTCGGAACATATTAACGGAATATTTGAAATCGTTACTAAACTATAGTGAAGGCCGTTTGTTTTCCTAGCTGTATCGTGTTCTGTGGATGGTATTACCACAATCATTTACTGTCAGTGTCACGAGAGATTAGTTACAATGCTACTGGAATGGCATTGCCTTGCTACTACACAGTTTCTTCTCATCCTTGGTGTTAGACATCCAAGTCCGCGGGGATTTGACCGGCGAAAAGAGTGACGTCATACAGTTCCAATTACCGAGGTGTTGCCAGATTGTGTATGATATAGAAATATTAAATGAAGTTGCATTTGTTTGTTGCTATGAAGAACTGGACAGATAAAACACAAACCCTGCAGATGCTGCTATCTCGTCTCATTTGTTTGCCTCCTTGTCATTTAGACATGCGTGACAAAACGTGTACATGGTCTCACGTCGACTGGGGGCTATGTCAGAGCACAGGCAGGCGGGCGTGAAAACAGCGCACTGATTCGATAAAAACCAAACATTAGCTGAATTATCGGAAAGCTTCGAAGCAGAAATAAGTACCGAAATGACGTCAATGGTTGTATACATATGCAATGAACTCTCAGCAAATCAATAGGTTTTCTTGGATTGTCACATTGTTCTGTCATGGAACAACAGGATCATCTCGACCAAGTCATATTTAAACATTTACCTTTTTTCCCGTCATTAGTTTCTACAAAAGGATTGAAGGATATTTGATAGAGTTTGCAATAGCTAGTAATCACAAAACCTATAAAAATACGTGACCCTGGTTGCTCAAAAGATTGTTAACCATTGATAAACGAAAAAATAACAATTGTTGCCATTGAAACAATAAGAGAGCTAAATGCAAAAGTAAACCCCCAATATACTAATCTGATATGTCTCTATTAACCTACAGCTGTGAAATAAAAGAGAACGTTTCGTCTTTCGTATGATTCTTTTTGAAAACTTTCATGAACAGACGGTTATCTCTAACCAGTATTTGAACAACAGTAACCAAAACACCTGCTGACCAGTGGCTAGTCAACTGTAGAGGGCGTTGTAGGCATATATATTGATTTATCATGTAAACTTTACTAGGCAATACTTGTGTCTTATGTAGGTGTTCAATGGTCCTTTACTGGGATATTCATTAATTAAAAAACAAAAACTCTGGACCTACTCGATATTTAATATTGATTTGTATTAATTATCGACTTATGTTGCCTTGGTCTTGCTGTCCTTACTTTACTTATTATTCATATATAACAATATTAACAGGATTAATTTTCCAATCTTTGTATTAATCTATAACATCTGTCACTGGAAGAACAAAGTTACTCTCATGAACAGCTGCTGTGAGAACACTTGCTAAGAATAAAAATGTTCCCTGTTGAGAGTATTTTTCCCTACACAACACGTCTGTTCAGTCAGCAACATGACGTCATGATCGGTAATATTATTCATTGGACAAAGATAATATTTAGTAATTCTTTTGGAGACGAGAGAGATAAAACAAATTTACAACTGACGTACAAACTCGTAACACAGAGTTACGAAAGATGCATAATGATGAAAGTTATGGGTGAGTTTACTGTCGTCATGGCGATCGCATTCTAGAAGTACACAAGGTTAGGTAATAAGAATTGTATCAACCTTTCTTTTCAGTGAGAATATCCTGTTTTTCTTTATACGATTAGTTTGACGATTTCGTCCATTTTCTCCTACGTCAGGAATTAATTCTGAGAACGTGGTCTCAAAAACCTACGGTATTTACATGTCACAGTTGATTCGAAATCCAAAGGCCTGTTCCCATCTTGACGATTTTCTTTGTGTGATTTGAAGCTGAGTGTTTAACGCTCGTTAGTTTTGTTTGTTGAATAGGTAGATTTATTCCTTGTTTTCATTAAGGGACATCACATCACTTTCTTAATTAACAAAGAAAACATTCGGAACACCTGGTATTATTCTCCTTGTAAATTTTCCTGCAGTTTTTCGTAGAAGCTGTGCTAATCATTAACTTACTGACAGATTAATTGCTTAATTATATTTGCTTGACTGATTTCCTCACTAGAGACAGAAAAAAGATATAATAATAAAAATAATAATGACAATGGACTAGGGATGAGGGTGGCTATGAACTGGGATGGTGGAACGATAAGAAAAATTAAAGCGATTTAAAACAATTTAGTACGTGGAAAAGATTTTTCTGATGTTATTGCAATAGTGAACAGCACAGAAAATATTTCTGTCATACAGTTAGAAAACCTTGATTACCCGCCTAAGGAAACAATAGAGTGCTGACTGTAGATGCAGTGGATCTTTGGCAGTAGATAGACCCGTGACATTAAGCAATTAAGATGTCAAATAAAATTTCCTGGAGATTTTAAGGATAAACCCATGTGTCCTTTGAAACGAAAGGTTGATGTATTTTTGGAGGACATTTTCAAGGATCTGCAAATTTCTCTGGTTGTCATTAAAACGCGGCAAGGTCTCTAAAAACAGTGAAAACTACTGCTGTACAACAAAGTGAGACGGTTAGCACTTCGTTTAAACAATGTTTTATGCAATTCAATAATTGAACAATGGTGGTGCATCCTTACGATACGATGTTATCAAGCTTGTAGTTTGCAGCAGTAAAAAGAAGGGCACAACATTTTTCTCATTGTAATGGTAATATCAATGTCATTTGTATTCGTATCTTGATTTACAAGCCTTGCAGATGTACGAGATAAGTATCTAGCCAAGAATATATTACTCGGGAATGGGATTATTATGTCTTCGTCCCCTATGATTTTAATGCTACTACTTCGTTTCCAAAATAAATTAAAAACCTTTTCGGAAGAGGTGTCGGTAAATAGCATATGTTTACATGATGTAATATTAGGTTGCAAATAATGATGTCATGGAAATATATGTAGATTTATAAACAGGAAGTGATATTGATGGTGATCTTAAAAAGCAATATAACTTCCGTCCAGGCTTATACAGAAAACAACTTCTTCGAAGTGCCAAAATTTATGACGAGATAGGAAGATACGTTGGACAATTTTTTTATTCAAAATAATTTTCACGGGCAGTCATAAATCAGTGGTTATCGTCAAAGATCCAGCTTTGGCCACGGTAAAGAAATTTTGGAACGTGTTATCTATCTATCGATGTCAAAAAGCAACATGAAAATACCAACATATCAACATAATCCAAACTGAAACTCCTAGAGCAAAAATAAAACAAAAGAAACATTTACACGGTGACTTCTAAAAAAAAAGAGCAAGACCATGTGTTCCGGAAAAGTAAGTGTCTTCTGCTTCATCGAGCCATATAAATTTTGGTCAATCCAAGTAAGTAATGCCACGTTCTCAAATGAGAACAACGTATACAACAAGGGGACCACCAGGCGAACTAACGAATAGTTAACATGTCCAGCCTCATATCTTACAAAAATAAAATGATTTCTCAATGATATGACCGTGGCTACCATAAAACGTCCTCATGATTTTATCAACTCGCACCTTTTGAAACACTCTGTGTTAGGAATTTGTCCATCAGTTGACGATTTCTTGCACAGAAATCATGATCGCTAATATCGATTTAACTACGACATGTAAACAGCACAGGTTGGGGATACATAGAGTGAAATGGAAATCATCACGTTTATCAAACATCTTGGTAAAAATCTGTCTGTGTTAGTTTCATTATAGGAAAAGATCGAAATAAGCAGCTGATGTAGAAGAGTCTGTCATTCAGTACAAAAACTTGCCAATTTAAATGAGATAGTGCGGTGTGGGTAATGGAGAAAGTCAGATTTATTCCGGATAACGTAACTCCCGTCCGTCATTAATTAAATAAAATAGTGTGGTGTGGGTACTGGAGAAAGTCAGATTTATTGAGGATAATGTTACTCTCGTCCGTCATTAATTAAATAAAATAGTGTGGTGTGGGTACTGGAGAAAGTCAGATTTATTGAGGATAATGTAACTCTCGTCCGTCATTAGCTAAATGAAATAGTGTGGTGTGGGTACTGGAGAAAGTCAGATTTATTGAGGATAATGTAACTCTCGTCCGTCATTAATTAAATAAAATAGTGTGGTGTGGGTACTGGAGAAAGTCAGATTTATTGAGGATAATGTAACTCTCGTCCGTCATTAGCTAAATGAAATAGTGTGGTGTGGGCACTTGAAGTCCGATCAATTCAAATAATCTAACTCTCATCCGACTTAAGTTAAGTGAAGTTGTGTGGTGTTGGTATACCAATAACCAGACAAAATGTGCATTTTCTAGATGTATGTGTCACATAATGCACCGAAAAGTTGCGTTAAAAATTAAGAAAAGAGTGATAGTAAGGTAAGCATTGGACAACAGAATAATTCTTTTATTAATCTTTCTTTAAACATGACCTCCTACATAGAATTTTTCTCAATCCATTTAGTCTTTATTGATTTTAACAGTTATTCTGCTGTCTCCGAGCTCAGCCTTATATTTATTTAGGGTTCTGATATGAACGCAGACGAAATCCACAAAGCCACACTACTATCGGTACCCAATTCATTTGAACACATAAAGACGGCTTGCAGTAAGGAAATATTTTAGAGGACAATTGACAGGTCATTTTCACAGTGAGAGA